ATCAGTGTGAAAGCCCTCGCTAGGCTCTACCAAATTTTTTTTAATATACAAGATAATTGTTTAAAATCATTATAGTACATATACAAGTAAATAGTCTGATTTTTTTCAACACTGAAACAAAAACAAAAAAGTTGTTCAACGTTGCCATGAGATTAGAACTTTATCAGGTTTTCAGCAAAATTAGTTATTTTAAAGTAAATTTACTTCTTTACCTACTTTCTAAAACAATACAACATATTTTTTAAAACATCAAAAAGGGCCTGGGGATTTAGCTCAGTGGTTTTAGCACCTGCCTGAGTTTGATCCCAGGTACCAAAAATAAATTAATTAATTAATTAATAAAATAAAATAAAATAAATAAAAACACCAAAAAAAGATATTAGTAGAATTGGGCACAAAACTTTAACAAATTTCCAGACAATTAATATATACTTATTAATCTGATTAGAATAATTTCATACAGAAAAAAAGTGATTCCTAAGTCAGGAAGTTCATTATTGTGTTTATTCACATACTGTCTTGGACTAACCAAATTTAGATTTCAGATATGCCAGCTTCTAGCTAATAAATCCCAACAATGAAGCAGCTCCTCAAATTTCAAAATCAGCAAAGTAAAACATCCTCTTAGTTCCTCTAAAAGTAAAAGGAATAAAGCCATGAAGACGCCCACAAAGGCAGGGAAAGCTAGAGCCACCTGCTCTGGTGAAGTTGTACCTTGCAGCTGCCTCTTGCACTTGGCAGGCTGGAGGGCGGAGCCAAGCTGCTGCAGGTTCCCATGCTCCACCTGGTGCATGAGGTAGAACAGCTTCCAGAGCATCTGTGCAGACAGCGTCCCGAAGGGCATTTCAGACATAAAAAGCCAAATGCCAAGTCTTTGTGATTTAAAAAAGCAGAATTTTGAATATTAATTAGCTTCATACTAAGAAAGTAGAAACAAACCTTTAGCTCTCACAGATAAATATTTTTTAAAACACAATGCCACAACTTTTCCAACATGATTTGGTCACAAGGACCTCAACAATGGATAATTATAATACCAAATACTCATGAAGCATTCAGTCTATGCCAGGTACTGTTCTGGGTGCCATGTCACATAATAATGAAATACGTACACACACAGGTTAAATATCCCTTATCCAAAATGCTTGGGGATCAGAAGTGTTTCAGATTTTGAATGGGGGGGGGGTGTGAATATCTGCACATATACAATGAGATATATCAAGCATGGGACCCAAATCTAAACCCAAAATTCATTTGCTTCATATATACCTTATCACATAGGCATGCAGGTAATTTTATACAATATTTTTAGTGCATCCATTTTGACTTCAACCTATCACAAGGTAACAAGTGTAGAATTTCCCACTTGTAACATGTCAGCACTAAAATGTTTCAGATTTTGGAATTTTTCAGATTAGGGATATTCAATCTGCATATAATAAATAAGATTTCTGTTTTATTAATTAACTATACTAACACTTCACATGGGATTTGATGCTGCAATATAACAGATCCCAAGATAATGAAGGGATATTGTAGAGGCCAAAAGAGTAAGGTCACAAAACAGGGTTCAGACTACATGGCAGATATGTAATAAATGTGGCTTAGGTTTCTGTTGTTTTGTCTTTTGGTTTGGTTTGGTCTTAAGATAAGAGGATCATTGTCAGAAGTTTCCATCAGAGTGCCAAATACATTTAGATTTTATGGCTTTAAATTATCTAATTTTCATGTAATGTATTTCCTAAAATAAATCATATTTAAGTACAATAGCTCTCAACATTTTAAAATTTAAAACAATTATCCTTGTGATTGCATATATAATGTTATGAGTTCACAGCTCCCTTTATAGAAGCTAAATAACTTGGGTGAGAGCTTTTTCTCTCAGCTAAGCAAGCACAAGAACAAATCCCAGATAGACATGGAAGGCTCCTCCCTCACAACACAGGCTTCAGTGGGAAGGGCAGGAGACCATCTGTCTGGTGCACCCCAGGAGACCACCAAATTTATGGTACATGAGTAGCAAGAGTTATCTAAAGATAAATTTCTATGTCCAAGTTCTATTGATGTTATATCCATGCTTTCTGAGTGCCTGAAAGGTTTTGCTAAGTCTATTCTTCATTTGAAACCATGTAAGAAAAATCATTTACATGTGAAATGTCCTTCATGGTTTAAAAGGTATTTCTACATATCAACAGACAGAACAGTAGTATCAAATCATCTTTATTTTATAAAAGAAACAAAGTGAGATGACAAATATTATGGGATTTTCCCAGGGTAAATGTAAATGGCAGACTAAGATTCAAACTCACTACATCCAATAAATTGGTGACTGAGTCAAGAAAGAGTATAGACAGCTAGTTCAGGAGAAGACAAAATAGGTCATGACCAGACCAGGAGAGGACAGGGGCCAGCCTACATCTCCTAGAGAAGAAAGAGCAGCGCACTATCCTGTGGCAGAATCTGCTGCTATTCTTGGCCAGAAGCTCAGGAAAGGTAATGAGGATACACAGCCATGACCCTGCCTGTGCCTGAAGTATATACTGGGCAAAAGAAACAGCCCAATCAGGAGCCGGGGATTTAGCTCAGTGGTGCTGCTGCCCGCCTCCCAAGTGCAAGGTTCCAAGTTCAATCCCCTGTACCAAAAAAAAAGAAGCAGTCCAAACAGAATTATCGCCAAGACAACATTTACAGAGTCAAGATAAGACCAAGAAATGTGTGACATTTTCTATATTTTAAAACCATAACAGTACGATAAGCCAATCATGTGTACCAGGTACTGTACTAAGTTATCTACTGTGCCTCAGAGTAAGCATGGAAATTCAATGTGCAATGAAATTCATCCTTGTTTTCCCCTGCTTATGGCTGCCCAAAAAGTTCAGCAGTGGCAAAATTGAGATATCAGACTTGAGTTATTTTAAGGCAGACAGAAGCCTGAAACATTACTTCAGCCTACAAAGACTACACTATGGATAGGGAAACTAAGGGCCGTGAATTTGCCCAAGATAAGAAATAGATGAAATACACTAAGACATTACTATAGAGACCCTCTTTAGTCAATGACTCTCACTCTGATCTTTTACTAGCCAATTAAGTCTCACCAGTTATCATGGTATGTCTTACCTTTTGGCTTTCAGCACATGCAGGACAGCTCTCAAAAACAGCTCATCAAATTCAACTTGTAGCTTCTCCATGGAATAGGGCTGCAGGGCCACTCCCACACCTTCATTATGGCTCACAAACTGAGCCCAGTGGTCACTCACATAGCCAAGGGTCATCCTGAGCATGAGGAAAGACAACTCAGCTTTTCATTCACTCACTAGTACCACCACCTTCACATCACCTTTTTGAGGTTAATGCATTTAAACACATAATTATTGAGCATCTAGTATCTTTCGGGTCTTGAAGGTAATATATTGGGGAAAAAGGAAAAAAATCTCCCTCCTGAAGCTTGCATTTATTGAAAAGCAAACAGACAACAAAATAAAGTAAAATACATAGTCTGTCACATGGTTGCCAAGTGACACTGAGAGAAGCAAAGCAGGAAAGAGAAACAAACTATGTCTAAAGATGAAGAAATGTGTAGGGCTAAGGGGGATAGTTTGGGAATAAGAGAGGTCTCACTAAAGGGGACATCTGGAAAAATGTTCTGCAACTGAAAAGTATGAGAAGAACCTGTGATGAATACAAAGACAACAAAAAACAAAGAAAGAATAATCATAACACATTATAATACTCAAACATGTAAATATTTACATAATAATGTAGTGAGTGACCAGTAGTGACCTATGAAATCAGGTGAGGCTTGGGAGTGTGTATTTTACAGAGACCCTCCAGATGACTTTTCTGCCTACTTCGATGTGGGATCCACTAATGGAAGGTATGGTAATGTCAAAGTCAGATACGAATGGAGTCCTGCAGTAATGCTGAGAACAGATAAGGGTGTCCTGAATACTGATCTTAAGACAATAATAAGTCTTTCTTTTAGTTACAGAGGGAATAAAATGACAAAGCACAGTTCTAGTATGCATGCAATCATATATCATATATGTAGTCGAAAAAAATTTTATGTGGTCTTATTTATCAAGCACAATCAGAAGACAAATAATTGAATGGACTTCTGATAACAAATAGACTTTTAGTTTTTAAGAAATTAATCTCCAGGTCACCAGCCATCCCTCCTTCCACAATCTCATTTTCCTTACCCTCCTCCAAAGGCATGTTCTAGACCTAAAAGTGACACTCAGCCTGTGAGGGCATCTGGTAATCCTTTACCTGGCCTCATAAAACTGATACATACATATCTAAAATAAATAAATAAAAATCAATTTGTTCTGGAAACAAAAGTAGGGAAAGAAAGTTTTGTAGTTTTATGAATTTTTTTTTCTGGAAGAGGTTGAAAAAAAAATTGCCTATATATATAAAAAATAGCCTATACATACATACATACATA